TCAAAAGTTAAAAAGCAAAACAAAAATTTTACTTCCTATCTCTCACTTTGTGCTTTGTCTTGTTTCTCTGGATATATAAACATTTATGTGTGTATGTGTGCGTATGTATTCTTAGTTCAGTTCCTCACTTCTTTTTCGTTTGTTTGTTTTTTGAGACAGGGTCTCACTGTGTAGTTGAGACTGACCTGGAACTCACTGTGTAGCCCAGGCTGGACTCGAACTCACAGTGATCCTCCTGCCTCAGCCTCCTGAGTGCTGGAATAACAAGCATGCACCGCCATGACCGGCTCCTCACTTTCTGGATTTTGCAGCCTCCATGAGTAAGATGAGTGGCACCTGTGTTATTTCATAGTCTGCCCTTGTACCTTCAGGGCACATGCGTAGGAACGGACTTGCGGGGTCCCCCAGGGCACATGCATGCACTGCTTTGTTGGCTGTTGCGCAAGCTCCCCCTAGGGCCGCAGCGTTTGCAATCCCATTTGGAGTATTAGAAGAGTAGCGGGCCGGGGATTTAGCTCAGTGGTTCGGTGGCCTGCCTTGCAAGCGCAAGGACCTGAGTTCGATTCCTGGTACAAAAAAAAAAAGAGTAGCAGCCTTGACAGTGCAGAACACTACCACACTTGAATTTTTGCTCATCCAAAAAGAAAAATGTTACCTTAGTGTAGTTTTAGGTTTTCTTTCTTTTTGATACCGGATATCGAACTCGGGACCTTGTGCTTGTGAGGCAGGCAGTGGGACCACTGCGCTAAATCCCTTCTTAGTGTACTTTTAATGCCTGATTTTTACATTTTGAGTGAGAAGCAGTCTTTTACATCTGATGTGTGATTAGAAAACATGGTGGACATTTAAATTAGAAAAGTGTATTATAGTAAGAGACATATCCATGAATCCCCTCACTCCCCCGCTTCGAACCCACTCACGCTGTCGTTCTTGCTGCTTTGTGAAACAGTTCTGAACCCCCTTTGCTGAGTGTTCTTAGTCACGGGGTCCTGGCTGCTTCAGTGTCGATGCAGAGGTGGCCCTTCGGCGGTCAGTTTGACTCGGCGGAAGAGCCGGAGACCTATGGTGCCTGCCTGGTGGGTAAGGCGGGTGAGGCCGCCTCTCAGTTGGGTGACACCATATTTCTGAAAACGGTGAAAGAGGGCTTGCAGAAGTGCTTCAGAAAGTGACAAGAACCATGGGCTAAGTGTGTTCAAAGGGTGGGCGGTGCTTCGTGGTCTCTCTGTTTGTGTCTTTCACCCGCATTCCTATTCTGGCTTTTCATCTGTTTTCCCCTCAGCTTGTTAAAGAATTCTTTATAATTTGGGATGGTTCATGCTTTATCTGTAGGTTGTAAAATTTTTCTCCCATTTTTTTCTTTTGTCTCATGATGTCTCTTTTTTTAACCACCCTGCAGTTAACTCAAGAATAACATGGTTATGTAAAAGTTTTATTTTACGATACCAATTAATAATTCTCTTGTAAGAGTCAACAAAATCCGGAACTCACCACCAACTAAATATAAAGACCGACAACAATCTTACAAAGATACAGACAGACATAACCGGCATACCTATAAAGTATATTCATGGCACAAAACTGGAGTAACTAAGGAGTTGTATAACTGAATTAAAATTCAGAATATCTTAGCAGCAGCCTGAAAATATGGGCTAAGTAACATTTAGGAAGAATAATGTTTTGTACTTAGGCATAAAAACAGGAATTCCATATGTTCAGGAATGGGGACATCTGCCTTCACCAAAGTCGGTGACTGTATAAACTTTGGATCTCAGCTGGTCACGCACTCACATGAGCCCATCAGGGTGGTATAGTTACTGTAAGAAAATGTACTCGTAGAGTGAGTGTTAGGAGATTGTCCCGATCATGGAAGAAATTGTCCCTTCGCCCTTGACGCTGACCAGGCCACATCCAGAATTCTGTGTTCTCTTGGAGGACCAGACACCAGGAGGGCTGCAGACATTTCTGGTCAAGTGCAAGCTTAGAGCTAGTGCAGGGCCTGGGAATGCTGTGGTGGATGGCCGGGAGCTGGGGACGGACTGGACACGGAGGCGGGTGACTTGGGGAGCATGGGGAGGGCGGTGGCTGTGACCGTAACATGGATTTATTGCATGAGGACCACTTCCTGTGGCCTCAGCTCGGCCGTGTGGCCCGCAGTGGCCTGGACCAGGACCCAAGTTCTCCAGGAGGGCTTGGGATCCACCCGCTGCTGCGTGTAGGCAGCTCAGCCGGAGTTCTAGGGGTCTGTGTTGCCTGCTTTCTTGGTGTCTTCTGTTCATGGAGAACAAAAGCAGGTGGGAATAGCAGTCTGTGGGGGTTTTTTTTGTTTTTTTTTTTTTGACTGATTAAAGTAGATGAAAAGCTTTGGAGAAAACATTCATCTGTAGGGTTTTATGTGAAAATGTGTCAACCTCGATTATGAGCCAAGATTCTGAGCCAGTTTCCTGCCTCCAATGCAGTGTGATTGCAAAATACAGAGAATTTTTAATTTTTGAAAAAAATTTGTTACAATAAAGGACACATCGCCATGAATCCCCTTCAAATTACCTCCCTCACTTCCAACACATTTATCCGACCATTCTTGCCACTTTCTGAAGCGGTCCTGAAAGTCCTGCACTGTGAGTGTCTCGTGGCTGCCTCGATGTCCTCAAACGGTGCAGAATGTTTATCTTTCGTGGTCATTGTGACTCTGGGCGGAGTCAGAGTCTGAGGAGGTCCCGTCCAGAGAATACGGTGGGTGAGGGCACACCGCGGTGTTTCTACACGTCTGCCTTTCCGTGGGCTGGCTCTCAGCAGCAGCTGTCGCCGTATTTGTGACCACACCTCGCAAAGACACTCAGAAGGGAGGATTCCGGAACTGCTTCGGAAACCAACAAGGCTGACGAGACAGGTGTGTTTGAAGCGAAGGGGTGTATTTGAGAAGGACTAATGCTCATGTGTCTTCTACTGTAATAAATTTTAAAAATTGAAATATTCACTTTACACAGTGATCACGCCTTGTGGCCTGATAACTGGGCCAGGACCTGGGACGGGGCCTCTGCTTCTCCATCTACAGTTAGTGCTTGGACCCGTGCCCTCGTGCACATGTCTGTGAGAGCAGTAACAGCATCCTGGTGTAAACGGAACTCTACTGACTCCTCTCGGGGAACTCAGAACAGGTCCTGTGATAATCTTACCGCCAAGCTTTAACGTGCGCATGAACCTGCAGGGCAGGGCCTGGGGTTAGAGTGCAGGTTTTGTCCCCTCATCAGAAGTGGGCCTGAGGTCCTGCGTCTTCAGTAAGTGCCCAGTGACACAGATCCTGACGGCTCTGGACCCACCTGTCTCAGCAGTAGTCCGCAAAGCCTCCTCCAGGGGACACTCGTCATCAGCCACCTGCCGCTGGCTGCTTGCTTAAAGTGCAGGTTCCATGCTATCAAGAAATCAGCCAATAATAAATGTTGGCGGGGTTGTGGGGAGAAAGGAGCCCTTCTCCATGGTTGGTGGGAGTGCAGACCGGTGCAACTGTCTGTGGAAATCAATATGGAGACACCTCAAAGAGCTTGGACTGGAGGTTCCATTTGACCCAGCCACCCCTCTGCTGGGTATCTTTCCAAAACAGTTAGAAGAATCATATGACTTATGCACACCTATCTATTATAGTGGCACAGTTTGTAATAGCTAAAACTTGGAAACAGCCCATTTGCCCATCAGTTGGAAACTGGATAAAGAAGATGTGGTTTTTCTATAAAATGTGGTACTACTCAGCCATAAAGAATGAGAAACTAAAGTCATTCATAGGAAAATGGATGCATATCGAGGCCATACTCAAGTGAAATAAATAAGACACACATGTAAATACTGAATAGTTTCTGGTGTGAAAAACTAAAAGTATAAATAAGATCCAAATTGTGTAACTGATAATGTGAAATAGGAAACAAGGGGCTAAAGGTGTAGGGGAAGTGGGAAGGGTAAGGGAAAGAAATAAGGGAAAAAATATGAGAAAAGGAAAAAATGGAAACAAAGTCTGTAAATAGGGAAGGGAGGAGTGGGTGAAGGGAGGGTAGGAGTATGGGGAAAACATGAGACCCAAGATCTGTCATGTAAGGGTACAAGATCCCAATGATGAATTTAACTTTATTGTATACTTTAAAAGTACCAATAAACTCGATTAGAAAAAAAATAAAGTGCAGATTCCAGATTGTGTCTCTGATTCCAGGACCAGAGTCTCAGTTGTCACCTCAAGGGATTCTTAAGCACATGAAAGATTTTGAATTACTGCTTTGGGACAGTGGGTAGGGCAGTCGTGCTATCCAGCTTTCTTTACTATAACAGAATACCCAAGACATGAACTTACGAAGAGGAAAGGTTAGGAGCTGGGGCTGTAGCTCAGTGGTAGTGTACTTGCCTGGCGTGTGCAAGGCCCTGGGTTCGATCCCTGGTGTTACATACACATGAGAAAGGTTTTATTTGGCTCCCAGATTTGGAGGCTTCAGGCTGTCAGCTTACGGTGGTAGGGGCCCAAGATGGAATGGAGCCTCTTACCTGGTGAAGAGAAAGACACCAGATCCCACAGTCCCCTTCCACGGCAGCCCCTGGTGGTTCTAAACCTCCTGCTAATCTGTGCTTGCTAAAGGCTCCACTTCCTCCCAGCGACACCTTTAACACAGGGGCCTGGGGGGACTTGCCAGGTATACACTCTAGTGGGGCTTAGACCGGAAGGAGAAATCACTTAAGAAAATGCAGTGAGGCTGGTGATTTAGCTCAGTGGTGCTACTGCCTGCCTCCAGGCACAAGGTCTTGCATTCAATCCCTGGTACCCCCCAAAAACCAAAAACAAAAACAAGAAAATGCAGTGATTCACAAAAAGTGGGTTGCAGGACACAGGTCACTTGTGGAGCTGGTGGGGCAGGTGCCACCCAGGTGATCTTGGGCACGGGACTTCACCCTGCCAGGCCCCAGCTTCCTCTTCCGTGAAGGGGAGACAGTCTGCTCTGATGAGTCTTCTCCTGTCTCTTCTGCAGTCGCTCAGCATGCTGTGCCCACGCCACGCTCAGTTACACTGACCATGAGCCCCAACTCCTCCTTCGGCCACAGGAAGGAGCTGAGCAACCTCACTGCTGAGGAGGCTGGGGCCGGGGGCGTTGTCACGGAGTTCGTCGTCATCATCATCATCACCGTGTCCGTCTGCCTGGGCAACCTGGTCATCGTGGTCACCCTGTACAAGAAGTCCTACCTCCTGACCCTCAGCAACAAGTTTGTCTTCAGCCTGACCCTGTCCAACTTCCTGCTGTCCGTGCTGGTGCTGCCCTTCGTGGTGACCAGCTCCATCCGGAGGGAATGGATCTTCGGTGTGGTCTGGTGCAACTTCTCCGCCCTCCTGTACCTGCTCATCAGCTCAGCCAGCATGCTGACCCTGGGGGTCATCGCCATAGATCGGTAAGCGGGCTGAGCGTGAGTGCGTGAGGATGACGCGGTGCGAGAGCTCCGGTCTGGGTCCTCGGGAGGGTCTGGGCCTGTGCTGCAGGAGGGTGAGCCGACCAGCTCTGCTGCCTGTCTCGTGTCCTTACGCGGATGAAACTGTGCTCCTTGGCCCGGCACTCGCCCCCACTGTGTGGCCCAGTTCCTAACAAGACACAGACCGGTACTAGTCTGCAGCCTGGGGTCTGGGAACCTGTGCCATATACCATGATACATACCGTAGAGCCTAGGGCAGTGCTACAGTGGGCTGCTTGTATCCCTGACAGCTCTGAAGGGCCAGGTGGGGTAGGCTGTACCTTCTAGCTTTGCATAGGCACCCTCTGGTGTCTGCACAGTAGCAAAAATCACCAAACAGTAGCACAGTGATGCATAATTGCACTTTCAGCTTTTTAAAAAGAGGCTCCATCGCTTATAGATGAGACAGCGGAAGAAGGTGGGTGTCACAGGAGGAGGTGGGTCCGGGTCTTCCGACTCAGTCGCTCTTCCTTCCCCATGCGGGCCTTCGGTGTCTTGCTCTGGTCTGGGCCCGGCTTGGAGGCTGGATCCTTGATGGGAGCCCCGTTGTTTCTCTACAGCCAGACAGGAGAGAGAGCAGAGAGGGAAGACACCCAGGGAGGAAAGGCAGTGGCATCCAGGAAGGGCTGAGTGCTATTTTTTTCCTGGCCTGGGGACTCACCCTGGGGCTTTTTCAGTGAGCTACACCCCAGCCCTTTTTTTTTTTGAGACAGACTCTCAGCAAGTTGCTATTGTCCAGGCTGGGCCCTAACTCCCAACCCTCCTGCCTCAGCCCTCAGAGTGCTGGAATTCCAGGCGTGCACTACCACACCTAGCTTTCAAATCCCGAATTGCTTGACTTCAGTGTGGCTTCACCACTGTGCTCTCAGTGTGCCTCGCAGGCTCCTCAGAGTCCCTCGCTGGTTTGTTGATTGAGTCAGACAGGTCTCCGGGCCCAGGCAGCCACCTTCCAACCCCTTTTTACTAGGGTTTTGCTGGTGTTCACTTCACTTGTCCCAGGCAAGGGTTGGACGTCAGGGGCCAGGGCGGGGTGGGTTGTAGATGCCAGCTCTGTGACATTTTCCAGAAATGAGTCAGGGAACACGGAGGGGTTGAGCCAGGGAGGTAGCTCTTCGGGGACCACAGTGACTCAGCTGAAGGGCAGGAGGCGCACTGTGCACTTGGAACATAGCTCCCCGCACCCACAGCTGGACTCCCTGGGCTCTGTGGGGCAGTGCAGACAAACAAAGCCGCGGGACAGAGTGCATCAGTGAGCTTCTCTGGATGGCTTTGCTTGTTCCGGTGGTGTGAGGGACACAGAAGCTCTCATAACTAACCAGGGGCAATCCCTGGTTATGGCTTTAGTGCATTTACCTCCAGTGCCTTACAGTTGTATTCAGTCAACCTTTTTTTGGGTTCTTGCACTTGTGAGGCAGGCGGCGGCACCACTGAACTAAATCCCTGGCCTTGCAGTAAACCTTTGAAGTAAGCCCGTGGGACATGTGGTTTTAGTGCTGTGACCGTGAGCAGCTCCTCCCTCCTCAGATGTTCTGCGCCATCCCCGTGGTTATGTGGGGCTCTGTCCTGCAGAACCAGTTTCGGGCCCTGTGGCTGGATTTAGGTGGCTTCACTGAGGGGCTCTGTAGAGCACCATGAGGAGCCGCCTATCTGCAGAATCACTGCGTTTTCAGTAGGAATAAATACTACACGTTCAGAGTTCTTGGTGTAGAAGAGTCAGGTTACCCCTCAGGAAGTTTTACAGATGTTTGTTCAGTAGCCAGTGGTCAGTATCCTGTAAAGACTGAGAATGTAACACTGAACAAAGAGTTTGGAAGTTTGTTGATAGTGAAGAAGAATAGTGTAAAAGAATGTTTTAAGGCCAGTGTTACTTCTTAGCTGGGCACGGTGGCACACACTTATCATGCCAGCCCTCTCGGAGGCTGAGGCAGGAGGATGGCAAGTTTGAGCACAGCCTGGGAAACTCCGCAACTTAGTGAGAACCCGTTTTGAAATTAAAAAAAAACAAAAGAAATTAGTTAAGGGCTGGGGCCTTTCAGTGCAGAGGCCCTGGGTTGAGTTCCCAATACTGACAAAAAAAACAAAAACATTACTTTAGGAGCATCCCTTCCTGTCGTGGATCAGAGCTGTCTGAGAGCGAGTGCTCAGCGGATCAGGCCAGAGCGCTCCAGGAGGCTGCAGATGGCTCCCCGGCCCCTCTGCACAGCGACAAAGCAATTCTTCACCAGCAGGCGCGCGGCGTGCTGAACGCCTCACCGTGCTCCTCTGGCAGGGCTGGCCTCGCCTCTGCAGTATTTGCTGAGCATCTACTCTGGGAGGCCCCCTGCGAAACCTGGGGGTGGTAAGATGCAAACACAAGTAGGACGGACACATCCTTGCCCGCCAGGGGATGGCTCATGACAGAAGAAACAAACAGAAATAGCCGTCCCAGTCGCCACACCAGCCACTGCGCTGACGCGGGGTCGGCAGTGCTCCAGGGAGAGGAGCGCTTGAGCTGGGTCCTCCACAGCAGAGGGTCGCACAGGTCCCCGAAGGCTGAGGGGTCCCTCGCACGTCACTCCTTTGGCCGGCAGTCACTGAGCGCCTCACTGGGGCCTGGCGCAGTGCTCGGGGTGAGACCCCCATAGCCGAACAAGACCGGGGGCCGTGCTGGGGAGGTCACAGGGCGGGGAGGTAGACACTGCCCGGGCTACTTCGCAGCCGCACCCCTGGACCTGATGCACATGTGTTTAAGGCCCCCTGTGAGTGCAGAGGAGAGGAAAAGAGACCCTGGCAGGAGTGACTGAGATGCTGTGGTCTCTGACAGCTGGACACAAACAGCCACCCAGGGCCACCCAGGGCCGGAGCTGCAAGTGGGGGGGAAGATGCTGCCCCAGGACACAATGCCAAGGCCTCCTTGGTAGACAGTGGGTCCCCTCTTGCAGGAGTGAGGCACGTCCCAGTGCTGTGGCCAGATCTTGCTGAGGAGGCCATGCACGCGCTGCGCATGTGCAGGTATTGGAGGGGCAGGTGCAGTTTGCTTTTGATTGCTAGTCAGTCCTGGAGATGAAAAACACAACGACTGGACAGCTCCTGTGTGTCAAGTGTGCGAGAGAGGGAGAGGGAGAGAGGGAAGAAAAGGCAGGCGTAAAGCTAAGTCAGTGGGAGGAGGAGTAACAGGTGGGCCCGGAGGGAGGAGACAGGAGTGTTATTCGGAGTAGGGGGAAAGAGACCGTGGCTGTGGTTGTGATCTTAGCTCTCACGTGCCAGGGGCAGGCTCTGCACTGTGTTGGCTGCTAGCATTCGCTCAGCAACCTTCCCAGCAGCCCATGAGCCCTGAGGACTCTTACCTAAGGCTCCTGGCTGTCAGGTAAACCGCCCAGTCCTGTGCCTCCAGAGCCTGCACCATCGAAGTCAGTGCTGTCTGTCAAGCCTCAGGGAGCCTCAGGGTTTCTCCGCCAGCACTGTGGCCTTCCCTCCAGGCCGTCCTTTTTGGGGAGGCGCTGGCTCGCCCTCCAGGTTCTCTGGCACCTTCCTGGCCTCCACTCACCCGGATGTCAGACACCCCCTACGGTGACACTGTTGCCAGATATCCCTAGGGGACAGAATCAGTCCCAGCTGGGAATCTTAGGCAAGAAATCCCTCAGGGCTGTCTCAGGGTTTGCCTAGCACGTGCAGGGTCTGGATTTGATCCCCAAAACCACATAAAAAGAAAAGAAGAGGAGAGAAAGAAGTCCGTCACACCAGTTGGAGAGATGAGCTTACAGAGTCCGTCTTGTAGCTCCATAAGAAGAGAACGAGGCAGAATCTACAAGAAGGACTGACGGGAGTGGAAGTCACCATTTGGAGGTCAGCGTCCTGACCCGGCTGAGGGGAAGCCGAGCCAGCCAGGCCGGCGTCCACAGCGGTGCCGCTGTGCAGAAGTCGACTCCCAGACGTGCGGCTGTAACACACGCTCGCTTCCGGCTTGGCTGTGACACTGCCGGGGCGCCAGGCCCATTAAAAATATTTCTCCTATTTTCATACCACACTGTGGCAGATGAATCTGGAGCTCTAAAAATAGCATATAACACTTGAAAGTAGCTAGAGCAACGGGACGGTTTGCTGTATGGCAGTCACTGGTTCCTCCAGGAGGCTGTTCAGACTGAGTGAATGTGTTCACCAGGAGATGGCTGTAGTCAGCTTAGATTTTGTTTGCTTTTGGTGAAGACATCTTACAAAAACAGGTCGCTACTGCAGTGGTTGGCATATGGCCGAGAGCAACGCATCTGGAGCCCCTCCCTTCCCACGTTCCCACTGCTCGGTTGCACGTGACATCATTAAAGCTGCTTTTGGGCCAAAAGATTGTGTGTGAGCAGGTGTCTAAAAATGCGTCAGTGGAGGACAGGTGGGACAGCCTCCCCAGACAGGAGTCCAGGAGGCGAAAGAAGCTGCTCAGCCTGGGGGTGGGGAGCTGCTTCTGTTCTTCCCTCTCCTTTGAACGAGAAGCTAGGCCTAAATGACATGTCCTTTTAAAATAGGAGTTTGGAGATTTACCATGATGCTGGGGCTGTTGTTTTTAATCTAAGTTTTATTATACAGTGTACATTCAGAAAACTTCACGTTTTTGTTTTTTGTACCAAGGATCGAACTTGGGCCCTCGTGCTTTCGAGGCAGATGCCAGAACTGCTGAGCTAAATCCCCGGCCCTTGTTTTTTGTCTTTTTGAGACTGGGTCTTGCTATGTAGTTTAGGCTGGGCTTCAACTCACTATATAGCCCACACTGGCCTCAAATTTACGGCAGTCCTCCTGCCTCAGCCTCCCAAGTGCGAGGATTATAGGTGGGTGCTGCCACACCTGGCTAACTGTACATATTCTAAAAGGACAATTTGATGAATGTATACAAACTGGGCACCCCTATCTACCTAGACCCCAATACCAGCCCCCTGGAAGCCCTTGAACCCCCCCCCCCCCATCTCCAGCCCCTGCCCCAGTGCGTAAGCTGGAGAGCCAGTGTGTGCCTGTTTTTCAGTATTATATGTGTGGAATCATGCTGTGGGGGGCAGTTTTGGGTTGCAGCTGTAGCTCAGTGGCAAAGCACTTGCCTAGCATGCATTACACCCTGAGTTCAGTTCCTGCACTACAAAACAAACAACAAACAGTTTTGAGTCTACAGTTCAAAATATTTAAACCCAGTTGTGGTAGGAAGATGTGGGGAATATACTTTGATAGTGGTGTGGACTTGGGCATTTCAGTGTATATAAATTTGTCTCTACCCCACAGAAGAACTGAAAGGAACCCACAGCGGGTTTGGGCAGGCCTGTGGCTGGCACTCAGCCTCCCCAGCTTTGACTCCCTCTGAACTTGGGAAGAAGAAATCACAGTCACATCCAGTGGCAGCTGCCCATACCCGAGCCTGAGGGAGTGAGAGACAAACCACAGTGGTAACTTTGGTCGCAGTAAAGGAGAAGTCTTACCACCCAGTCTGGCCGTAACGATGGGTGCTGAGACTGGCCGGAAGTCAATCTGTCGGAGGACAGCTTATTAATAAATCATGATTGTTTTTATGAGCGGGGCCGGGGCCGGCCAGAGGATGCTCAGCAGCTAACAGGTGGCCAGCCTGGGCACCTCCCCTGCAGTCCTGAGGTCCCGGCACTGCATGCTCCTCAGAGGGGAAGAGAGGACGTCTTGGCCTTGTGTCTTCCTAGCTGTGAAGGAAACCTGTCCAGAGGCTCCTCCCCTGCTCGCAAGCTCCTTTCACACGTCACTTGCTGGGTTGGTGCCACACAGCTCCGCGCCTGGGCTGCTCGCCCGGCAGGGAAGGAGGCTGCCTTTGGCAGCTTGGGTGCCCCCAGGGCCCAGGACCCTGTCCCTGCGGGACACGGCGTGGAAGCTCGGCAGGGGCAGAGCGTGGTGGGGGCCCTGGTCCTGCAGAGGGTGCTGAAGAGTTGGTGGGCAGCACGAGCGAGGAGCAGACCTGGGACACAGGTTCTAAAACCTCCACCTCACAGAAGATGGAAGTAAAGCTCCGAGAGGTTAAATCAGCTCCCGGGGTCACAGCCAGTAGACAGCAGGACCTCTGTCCAAGGCTTGCTTCTTCCCCGGGACTGTGGGGCCTCTGCAGACGTAAACTCGGGTCACTGCGCGGCTTCCCTGTGCGCCTCAGCACCTCCACACCCTGCCGAGGCAGCTTTCTGTCCGCCAGGTCCTGAGCAGGGCCCCCGACCTTCCGAGACCTCAGCCTGGAGTGTTATCCTCCAGGAAGCCTGCTGTGACCCTCCTGTCCTGTCTGCCAACTCTTGCTGACCTCCTTGGTCACAGCCGAGGCCATGGGAAGCACCCCTTGGTCCAGGGACTCCGGACAGGACGGCTCGTAGGGCTGGGCACCGTACACGCAGATTGCCTGGGTTTCTGTCTTGTTTCTTGCACCAGTTGCAGCTGGTGATTCATCCTCTCTCGGCTTCAGAGTCCTCATCTGCGAAATGGGGCCAACGGCCCACCTGCCGCCCACAGCCCTTCCCTCGCCCAGCTGGCACCCCTGCTCCTGTGTCCCTCTGGCCCTTGTCTTCTCACCTGTGCCTCCAGGACCTGGCCGTGCCTGACACGCAGTAAATGTCCACGGCGGGAGTGAAGCCAGTAGTATTTGGACATCGTCCTGATTTTTTTTTTAGCTCATAACCACTGAGCTAAATCCCTGGCCCCCCACTCTGATTCTTAATGAGCCCTCTGGTAACTGATCAGCAACTGAACTAAGCATGGGATCCCTTAGGGCCTCTGGGGAGGCCTCTGGGGCAGCCGCACCCCCAATTACAGGGCGGGAGGCGACTTGGAAACGGCTGTCCGAGCTCTGTGTCCTTGCTGGTGTCCAGTGGCTGCTTGCCCAAGAGCCCTTCCGAGGGGAACAGCTGTCTGGGGTGTTTGGAAGCCACCACCCCGCCCGGGAAAGCAGGGGCCCATCCTGGTCTGTTCTGTCCCTTGACTCCTCTTGCTTCCTCTCCTCTTCCCAGCTACTATGCCGTGCTGTACCCCATGGTGTACCCCATGAAGATCACAGGGAACCGGGCGGTGATGGCGCTGGTCTACATCTGGCTGCACTCCCTCATCGGCTGCCTGCCCCCTCTGTTCGGCTGGCCGTCGGTGGAGTTTGACGACTTCAAGTGGATGTGCGTGGCCGCCTGGCACCGGGAGCCGGGCTACACCGCCTTCTGGCAGATCTGGTGCGGCCTGTTCCCCTTCTCGGTCATGCTGGTGTGCTATGGCTTCATCTTCCGCGTGGCCCGGGTCAAGGCCCGCAAGGTGCACTGTGGCGCTGTGGTCATCGCGGAGGAGGACGCGCAGAGGAGCGGGAGGAAGAACTCCAGCACCTCCACCTCGTCGTCGGGCAGCCGGAGGAACGCCTTTCAGGGCGTGGTCTACTCGGCCAACCAGTGCAAGGCCCTCGTCACCATCCTGGTGGTGCTCGGCGCCTTCATGGTCACCTGGGGCCCCTACATGGTCGTCATCACTTCCGAGGCGCTCTGGGGGAAGAACTACGTCTCGCCGACCCTGGAGACCTGGGCCACATGGCTGTCCTTCACCAGCGCCGTCTGCCACCCCCTGATTTATGGCCTCTGGAACAAGACGGTCCGCAAGGAGCTCCTGGGCATGTGCTTTGGGGACCGGTACTACCGCGAGCCGTTTGTGCAGCGACAGAGGACGTCCCGGCTCTTCAGCATCTCCAACAGGATCACAGGTAACGTGGGCGCCTGGGAGGAAAGGGCTTCCCGGCCCAGGGCGGAACTTTCCTGGGGTTTCGGGCTCAGTGGCTCTGGCCTGTGCACCGGGAGTACTGACTGACAGTGGCCCAGGGCAGCAGAAAGCACAGATCGCCATGGGGCGGGGGCACCAAGAGCAGGCGCTGTGAGGTCCAGGCTGCTCTCCTTCACGCGGCAGTTCCAGGCCGTGCTGGTGGGAGGCCAGTGGGCATTCTGAGGACTCAGGCAGGGCACCCCCACATCCTCCTGTTAGTGTGGCTGTTGCCCAGCACTCTCTCCTCCTGCATCCCTCCTCCAGTCTGTGTCGGGCGGGGCTTTCCTCCCAGTCTCTGGTACCTGGGGGAGGGCGGTGTCCCACCTCAGCCCACACGGGGATGTCACTGCCTTGTGGCCGAAGCTCTTCGGAGTCAGTCTCCCTACTTTTGATGAGACTCAAGCGGAACCATGGCTTTACACGGGGACTAGACTTATTCTTTTTTAACTTTTTATTTGGAAATGGTTTTGGATTTATAGGAGGTTGGAAAAGCAGCACAGAGGGCCTCCCTTGGTGTCGCCCTCTTGCATAAGCAGAGCACAAGAGCAAAGCCAAGGCCTGATGCATGCAGGGCAAGTCCCAGCCCAGCCCTCCTCTGACCCTTTCCTGCAGAGCTGGCCAGAGTTCTGTAGGGTGTGCCTCAGATGCTCTCTTCTGATTAGAATGAGGCTACATGTTTTGTTTTTGGCAAGAATGCCTGAGGGCGAGGGCTGGGTGGATCCGCTGGTGCACATCTGTCGCCTGTCCCTTGGTTAAGGGGGGGTCTGTCAGATTTCTCCAGCTCAGGGGTGCAGTCTCTCTGTAGTGGTTAATCAGTGCCGTGGGACAGCTGGAGACTGCACAGGTGGCTCTGGTCCTCAGCACCTGATGCTGCAGCATAGTTGGACCACAGCTGAAGGCGACCGTCCCTGCCCATGCTCGATGGAAGGTGTGGAGGGCGTCACCTGCACACCGCAGCCCTAACCTCTGCCAGATGGCGCTGGCTGCTCGTCAGACTGTCTAGTTCACGGTTCCCCTTAGGAAGCTGGGGGTTCTGTACGCCTCTCGAGGAGGGGCGGGGCTAATGACTTCTAAACACTGGGGGCCCAGAGGTGACAGACAACCTTTTCCACGTGGCAGGGACACTCGCCAGCCTCCCTGATGGAGTTCATGGGTTGGTGGAGTGTTATTTCCAGTTGTAGGAAGGAAGTCTGGGACTTCTTATTTTGATCATAGAAATAAAAAAATAAAACATTCTCTCTGCATCCCAGTATTTAAACCCACCGAAACACCTACCCCTGCCACTTACAAGTCCGTGTTTCCAAGTAGAACTTGGAAGCCAGGACCATGTTCCACCTTTGGCTCCATTTCTCTGATGAACATACCCGGATTTTGTGGTCAGTTGTCTTCCGGGCCAAAAATGATAGATGCTGTCCATTCTGGCAAAGTGGGGATTGAGGAAGGAAAAAACAAAGGAGAGAGAATGGAGGAAGAATGAGAAGATAGAATGAAAAGAAACATTTGTTTCTTGCCAAGACTTCCGTGCCAGTCGCTGGGGATTGGCCTTGATTTCTCGAGGCTGGTAGAGCCGGCCCCAGCACCAGCCGAGGTTAGGCCAGCAGCCGGCGTCTCCTCTCAGTTAGGGAGCAAGCAGTCTGGTGGGATCCTTTGGGTGGGAGAGCTCGTGGGGTGCGGCCAGCTCCAGGGTGGAGTCCTTGTCCCTCCCCGAAGGGCCTGACCACAGGACGGGCGGCAGCATCAGGCACTAGTGTGGGGAGCAAGGCCCAAGTAGGGGCCGATCCCCGTGCCACCCAAGCCAGGAATGCCCACTGCCTTCCTGACGGAGGGATGAGCCTGTCCACCACGGCTCACCGTCTGTGAGCAGGGCTTTGATCTGTGGCTGCTTCCAAACGCAGGTCGGTTCCCCTGCCGTGAGCGGCACCTTTGGGGACACAGGGGCCTTAAAAGTTGCACACCTCCAGCAAGGAATGCTCTGGAGGCTCTGGGTGGTGTTTGTCTGTTTGCATGGGCATTAGAAAATGCGATCATTAGCTTCCTTAAAACAGTGCTTTTTGGCAGAAACAGAGCAGAATTCCCAGAGTCCCTGAGCTTCCCTGCAGATTGGATGCCCACAGTCTAAGCACGTGACAGCGGTTCTTTCATGCAGGGCGGATTTCAGCCATAATCAGTGGATTTTGATTTTCCTGTTTTGTGCACCTGAATAGAGAAGCTTTCCATGGAGTGCCAGGTATCACTGGCCACCAGTACCTTCTGCTTCTGTGGTCTCATCAGCAGAGTCCTGAGGGCTCTCTGGGAGCGGAGTCTTGGGGCCCCTGGGAGGTGCTGGGGCACCACTCGTGGGGTGGCAGCCCTGGCTTCCAGGTCCAGAAGGTGAGCTTCATGCTGACAGGTGCTCTGGGGATGCGGCCCCTCAGACCCAAAGCTGACCAGTGGCTGCTGCCAGTCTAAGGGGCAGGAGCTTGCGGAGGAGCCTGCAGGACCTGCCGTGCACCTGACAGAGCCCACCTGAGAGCCAGGCCACACGCCGCCCTCCCTGGGGACGGAGCTCCGGTCCCCGGGGGAGGAGGACCTGTCTCCTTTCTCAGAGGGAGATGCCCCTGGAAGGTCTTCTTCGAGCTGTCTTGGCTGGAAGGAGGGAGGGGGAGCTGGAGCCTTGAGTTTTCCTCCCCTGCGTCTCCATGCTTTTCCTGTGGCCCCGCGAGGGCCCCCAGTTACCTCAGCATGCCTGCCCCACCGTGGAGAGCTGTCTGTTCTGTAGCAGCGTCCACAGGGAGAGAGGGAAGCTTGTTCCCGGCTTCTGCGGCAGCCTCAGAGCTGCTGTCCAGATCCCAGTGTGGCCTGCGCCAGCCCTGCTGGCAGGGGGTGGCCCTGTAGGCTCCACTGCCCAGGCCGGGCCTCTGGTTGGTCACGGCTGAGTTTTAGGCTAGGACCACAAAGCAGGTGGCCGGATGTAGAGGAGATGTTTGGGGTCTTCGTGGTCCCAGCCCTGGAACCAACGCCCAGCACAGAGGGAAGTAAAAACACAGCTCCTTATGGATTCCCAAGAGGGATGGAAGGAAGTTCTGGGCGAAACTTCCCGTGCCTGCCCGGTCTTCCTCCCTATTTCCTCCTGGCTCCAGGGAAGGAAGGAGTGTCCTGTCACCTTGTACCCTCAGAAACACTGGATAAATGGGGTCTTCTGTCAGGAGTGTTACAGGAGAATCAAGATCATCCTTTATTGCTGTCATTCACTGTCTTAGTCCATTTTCTGCTGCTGCAACAAAATACCTGAGGATGAGGGATTTATCAAGAACAGAAGTTTATTTGGTTTATGATCCTGGAAGCTGGGCAGTCCAGAGACCATCTGCTGGCGAGGGCCTCTGTGCTGTGTCTTCCCACTGGGGAAGGTGGACAGTGAGGGCAAGAGGACAGGAGCCCACTCCTGAGGCCCCCAAGCCACCTCTGTGGCTGGGACATTCAGCCCTCCTGAGGCCCCCTGCCCGGCATGGCTGCCCTGGGGCTGATTCAGTCTCTACCACCGTAGACAGGAGGTACACGTTGGAACAGCAGCCGTCATTAAATCTGTGAGGCAGTAGCTCTTCCTCCTGAGATCCGAGGAATCTGACCCCCCCCCTGCTTAATTGGCTAAGAGCTTTTTATGTCCATGTCCCCTTTCCTGGAGCTCCAGCACTTCTTTATGGCGTCGTCATTTTCCGGCTTCAGGAGGGTATTCAGTGACCCATCTTCCCTCCACCCTCCACCCGCCACCCCTGGCTGGCGCCTGTCCTTCCTGTCTGGTGGCACTTGGGCCATCCCAACCTTCCATCCAGGGTGAGTGCTGGGCAGCCTGGGGCCAACTGGCGATGGCGGGCCAGCTTCTGGGCCGCAGGGTGGTCCAGCGGGGCCAGTTCCCCGTCAGCTGCTCCCCGTACCTGTACGGCTGGTTGGTTTTCTGGGGAAGAGATCTCCAGCCGCCAGCCCAGCTTGAGTGGGGCAAGGGTCAGCATCCGATTTTAACCCTTGGGAGGTCACTGTCCAAAAGTTACCTGAGAAACACACTCACTACCAACATGCTGAAATGCAAAACGAAACAACCTCCAGATCTGCATGTATCATCGACTAAAACACGATTGTAACTTATTTTCAGTTATAGAGATTATTAAAGAAATAAGTCTTTTCCAGATTTGCTGTATCTTATGTATAGTACCCTACTGAATGTCACACACCCTCACAAAACGTGTATCACAACCAAACCGGTGGCTTGAATGTCACGGCTCCATTAGTTACATAGTAAGGCGCAGCTGCTCGATGCCCTGGACCCGTGTGCCCCGTGTGTGTGCCAGTGGCATCTCCGATCAGCCACCGCCTCCCGAGGGCTGAACACGCGGCGTTCTGCCTTGTCACTTCTGCCCTCTGGAATGCCTGGTGTCTTCATGGCTGGGCCCCCGGGTCACGCTCTCTGCCGTCTCTGGCAGTTGAGGATGGGGAGGAGCAGTCGAGGGTCCAGGTGCCTGCAGAGACCCCTGGGCCTCAGGTCTCTGAGCTCTGGGGGCCTCTGTCCAGCCTCCTCCCCAGCTTGCTTTCCTGGGCCCGTGTCATCGTCATCCATCTGCTCCACAGCTTCCCCCAGTTTTCTCTCCCTTTGGGGTTTGAGCCTCTTTTAAAAATTCCCCTTGGAACCGGACACGATGACACAGGCCTGTAGTCCCAGCACTCCGGAGGGCTGAGGCAGGAAGGACTGCAACTTTGAGCCTAGCCGGGCAATTTAGTTGACTTAGCAAGACCTTGTCTTAAAACAGGCAAACAAACAAAAGTCTGGGGATGTAGCTCAGTGCAAAGGCCCTGGGTTCGATCCCTAGTACCATATAAATAAAGAAAAATTCCCTTTTGATACACAAGCAGGACTGTGAGAGGGAAGCAAGGGGTTATATCCACCATGACTTTATGAAGACCTCCCCACAAGACTGCTCGAGGGTGTCCTCCTGCCATTTTGGGGTCTGTTGGCATTAGGAGGGCTTCCTCTGTGGAGAGATCAGGGGTCCTGACCTGGCCTCCGAAGTCTCCCCTCTTTCCACACAAGGGACAACAGAAAGAATGAGCTGAATGTGGTAATCCTAGCACTCTAGCCAGAGGGCCCCAAGTTTGGGCCCAACCCGGGCAACTTAGACCTGTCTCAAAGTAAATTATTAAAAACAAAAATAGGGATGAGGGAGGCTGGGGACAAGCTCAGTAGAAAGGCCCTGAGTATAAGCCCCAGTACTGCAAAATAAATAAAAATAAATCTAAGTAAGCAAGCAGAATGGAGGGCAGAGGCCAGGGCGGCGGGGAGACAGAACTGGGTGGGTGGGGCCGCCTGTCACTGCCGACTCTGCCTTTCAGACCTGGGCCTGTCCCCGCACCTCACCGCGCTCATGGCCGGCGCACAGCCCCTGGGGCACAGCAGCAGCACTGGGGACACCGGCTTCAGCTGCTCACAGGACTCAGGTAAGCTTGCTCTGTAAGCCTCTCTCACCTGTGTCATGGGATGTCCAGCTGCAGCGGGACAGACAGACAGCTCCCAAGGTATGCAAGGCCTCTCCAGTCCTGGCCTTAGCATTTCTGTGCCTCAGTTTCCTCCACTGTCAAACAGGCGCCTCCGTTTCCGTTCTCCCTACCACACGGAGAGTGCTGCTCTCAGGTTGGAAGTCAGGAAGAGCCTTTGAAACATTAAAATTAAAAAGACTGGCACTCTTACACAAGCAGCGATCGAAAGATACAGTGAGTGTTTACCTTTCAGAAACTTTCTACAGTAAAAGACATTGCCAAGAGTGATGGAATTAGTGTTTGAAATAAGGGAGTAATTTTGAATATTCTGAGGGGGATTAATGGCACTGGGTCTTTTACCATAATACATTTTTCCGTTTAAACGTTCACCATATTTTATGAGCACCCCTCAGCCAGACATCTGCAGCATTTTCTGTCAGATTAAAACATTACGGTGTGTCCTCATCTGTCTCATGCACTGGGCCTGGCACTGAGCAAATTCTGCCTCTTCCCTAAAGTCAAAATGAATGCGAAAGGTAAATGTTTTGAATCAATTCAAGACACTCAGGAAAGAAGCCTTCCAGAACTGCTTCAGAGAGTTGCAACAACAGTGGGATAAGTGTGTCAGAAGGGAGAGGAAGTATTTTGAGGGCACTCATGACAGTGTGTCTTTTACTGTAACAAACTTTTAAAAATTTAAACACACACCATATTTTTCAAGCATACTTGGTAAAAATCACTGGGGCAGCCAGGCCCTGGGGTCTACCTGCCTGGTTCCCCATCTCCTGTCAGCCTGTTAGGAGCTGTGGGGTCCCAGGCAAGCTGCTCCATCCCCCTCTGAACCCTGAGCTTCTGGTCTGGGTGGTGGTGGAGATACTCCCATGCACGGGGCAGCTAGGAAGGAGGAGACCCCGTGGCTGTGAGGCACTGCTCGGCCCCCTGCACAGAGCCCACCGGAAGCTCAGCGCCCAGAAGTGCATGGCTCCACTCTTCCCCTCACCACACCAGAGCCTGTTCCCAGCACCTGTGGACACAGCGAATGCTACCCGTGCCCACAGAGTGTGTGACTGGGGACAGGGAGTCGGGAGTGATGGGGACAAGGCCAGCACTGTAGGCAGAAGAAAATGTGGGCTTTGGGTCCCCACGGACCCGAGTGTTAGCCCTCGCCCAGCGCTTGTGAATGGTGCCCCGCTGAGTAAAGACTCCTTTGGTGTGGCCCCTGGTGCCACGCACAGCACTGAACCTCGACGTGTGTCAAGTCGGGGTCCCGTGAGCTAGGCTGTCGAGGGCACCCATTGCAGACACGGATACTGCGAGGTGAACCAACCCGCCAGGGACCTGTGTCTGCACTTGCCCGGGTCTGGCCTGTGTCTCAGCCACGGGATCACGCCTGGCAGGGGCTCCAAAGGAGGGTGCCCAGGCTTCCTGGTGTCCCTGATTTCCTGAGCACGGAGGCCTCGATGAATTGAAAGTTGGACACCGAGAACAAGGCTGGGGTCCCGTCCCTCTCATGGCCTGCTCCACTTAGTTCTCTGACAGGACTTCCTGCCTTTATTTCCCCACTTTCAGGGGTACATTTTTCATTCCTTTGTAGCTCCCCAAAGAACTTCAAATTTGCTAGTTTTTCACGTTTCTATAGCTCAGTATATTTTAGCCATGGTGGTAGAAATGCAGGGTGAGACAGAATAACTGCAGATAGGATCTCGCATTCACTGGGCCCATCCCCTCCCTCCTTCTGTGCACCCCGTAGCAGCCCGGGTGGAGGTCTGGGTCGGCAGGGCGCCCTGGGTGTGGGCTGGAGGGTGGGTGGGGAGGAGGCCGCACAGCACTTCGGCCCTTGTCTCAGGAACAGACGTGATGCTGCTGGAGGACTGGACGTCAGACGATAACGCGCCCTCCCACTGCGCATGCCCACCCAAGAGGAGGAGCTCGGTGACGTTTGAGGACGAAGTGGAACAAATCAAAGGTTGGTTTCTGTAGCGATGGCTTCAGAGGATGTAGTGAAAGGGGCCCTGCACATCGCGGCGGTGCTCGCCCCGAAACTCCCAGCCCACGGGTCTCACGCGTCCCTAGGCACCGATAGCAGGCAGCGTGCATGCGTGTGACCCCCTCTCCTCCCCGGGGTCCATCTGATGGCCCTCTGCGGTCTGTTTCCTTTACGGATGGTGTGCAGTCACGAATCTGAACCTGCCGCTCTCAGCCCATCTGCTCCTAGGCCAAAGCTGCGACTGAATGTCACCCCAAAGCTGGCCACAAGGACACTAGAGTCCTGCTGTGGTCCCTGTCTTCTGGCGCTTGGGGCTGTCTCTTTCCCCCCTGTCACCCGGCTGGGGGTGGCCACCAGCACGTCTGAGACGTGAGTGAAGCACCAGATGTGAACATCAATACGGCCTGCCAGAGTTTTTGTTCATAGTTAACCTTATCTCTTCCACCACTGCCTCCCAGAGCCGATAAGCAAGGGAGAGGAGCCCCAGAGGGCAAAGCTGATCTGAGAGCGGGGTGTGGGCCGGCAGCTTCTCAGGCTTTGTCCTTTCAGGGAAAAGATGAACGGAACAGGGCCATCTGGGCAGGATGGAGGCCGACCCCTCACATCAGGGGCATAGGCAGCCTCTCTGCAGGCCTGAGAGCAAGTCACCAGCAGGGGGCGGCACTACCCAGCATCCCTCCGCGCTCTACCTCCTGGAGAGCTGTTCTGCGACGTCTTGCTCTCCAGAAATTTGTCCCCTGATAGCCAGAAAAATAGGCAGAGAGGCTCAGGATCATAGGGCACGGTGTGACCCTGAAGAGCCACCTCCCTTCCCCACCTCATTCTGGCTGTCGTCCTATCCTACGTGGGGTGCTTGGACCTTTAATGTCACTTCCAACCCTGAGGTTCTGGAGAGGAGAGACGCAGTGTAGGGGTGCAAGTTTATAGCTGCACATTTTTATGCTCTTCCAGGGAAGTAGAACAGAGAACTCTTTCAAAACTATAAAAATTGTGATTAGCATTAATAGTGAGTTTTTATTAAGACTTTTCTAAAAGACAGACCCGGGCTAAATATTTTTCCAAAGAACTAATTACAGTAACCCTATAAAGTAACACACGCATCTCCCACACACAGACCAGGGCCTTAGCACTGAGCTACATTCCTGACTTTTCTTCATATTTTTAGCCAAGGCCTCAACTAAATTGCCCAGGCTGGGCTCAAACTTGTGATGCGCTTGCCTCAGTCTCCCAGAGTGCCGGGGTTCCAGCTGTGCACCCCCGTGCCTGGCCGAGATCTCCTTACAGACGAGGAAACTAAAACCAGACAAAATAGCTCTGGCTTCCCAGGTAGTGCGTGGCTCGGCCTGGCGACCTCCGGGGCCTCCTTCCTCGGCGTGAGGCAGCAGCAGGTGTATTCCTGGGACAGCGCGGGGCCTGGCTGCTCACTGACCTCTTTCTGCCTCTCCCCCAGAAGCTGCCAGGAACTCTATTCTCCACGTGAAAGCTGAAGTACACAAGTCCTTGGACAGCTACGCAGCCAGCTTGGCCAAAGCCATCGAGGCGGAAGCCAAAATCAACTTATTTGGGGAGGAGGCTTTGCCAGGGGTCCTGTTCACAGCGAAAACCGTGCCTGGGGCCGGCTTCACGGGCTGCAGAGGCAGCCGCACGCTGGCGAGTCAGAGGCTGCAGCTGCAAAGCATCGAGGAGGGGAACGTGTTAGCTGCAGAGCAGAGATGAGGGGCTCGGCGTGGCCAGGCTGGAGCCGGAGATGCTCCCCTGGGAGGCCTCCGCCCCTGTGCTGGAGCCGAACACCGGAGAGGAGACGTCTGGTGTGCAGCCTCCGGACTGTGACTCAGCAAGGACGTGTGGCTGGCCTGGGAGGCGGGACATCCAGGAGACCGGCCGCCTGGGCCAGAAGGGAAGCACCGCAGGCTGTTTCCTCTCTGTGTGCCCTGTGCTGGGCACCGCTTAGAGGCCGCCCGGGCGAACCCGTCCCGAGGTACCCAAACACAGCACTGCCGTTCTGAGCCCCGAGGTTTCTGTGTGGCCGATGCAGGAAGAGAGGTGCGTGGGGTCCTAGGCCAAATGGCCCATGGGCCGCCCAATCTGCTTCCTCCACGTGCTCCCCAGCCCGTGCCAGTGGGCACAGCCCATTGGCCGCTGGAGATGGGTCCACCCCACCACCTCCCACCGGACAGATTCTTTGGTATTCCCGAGGGAGAAACCACTATAAAAGACGGGCAGGTACCAGAATTAGATGGTTAGGACACAGTCTTCTCGAGACTGGCCAGGGCTGTGGTGCCAAGTGCAGCAGGCCACGACGCTGCTGCTGGCGGGAACTGCTTCACATGGGAAAGCCTGGGACAAGCGCTGTGGGTGAGGCTGGAGTGGCCAGTGAGTGTGGCCTCAGTCCACAGGGCGTGCCCAGTGCCAGTTACTACGGCGGCAACCTCGGCACAGCGCGAGGCGAGGCAGAGAGCAGTGGACCTGTACTCAGCCCTGTGCCTGCGTGTCATTTGGGACACCTGTCACCTCTCCAGGGCATTTGTGAAAGGAGAAAAGAGAGTGAGGTGTTGGGCTGGTCTCCGAGATCATTTCCAGCTCTCCTCCGTGTTCTCTGAATTTGTAAATGACAGTGGACCAGCATTTGCCTCTTTTGACAGCTCTCAGCGGCCCGGTGTCCTTGTGCTCCGCGGCTGATGGAATGTGGACCACGGAGACGCAGGAGTGAAGGAAGAGGCGCCACCTCCGAGGCGGGGTGGGACAGCAGGTGTGGGCTGCTGTCCTTAGCTAGAAGAGCAGCTGAAGTTTGTGACCGGGGAAGCCACGGGACCTCCTCCCCGTGCCACCCTTCTTCCTGGGCGATCCGATCAGCTAGGAGAGCAGGAGGTAGTCAGTCCAAGAGCACTCACTCTGTACGCTTGCAGGCAGCGACGCCAGCAAGGACTACCTTCGGAGCGCTTCTCTGGGGTCTCGCTGGCTCTGGGAGGTGGTGTCTTTGCTGTGTGGCAGGAACCAACGGCTTCCTCATCACCGGTGTGGAGTTTACAGGACTTTTGTGAGCCTGGGTTCTGCCACGTCTGTAGTGGCCCAGCTCGTGGATGGAGGCCACGCCGTCAGCTGCGTGCTGGGCTCGGGGTACCTGGGGCTCCTGCTGCTGTCTGCTGGGGGTGTCCTGTTTTTTCTGTATATGCACTGTATATAGCTTTTTCTAGTGCTTGTCTGATCTGAGGGAAGGCGACCCTGGTTAATCAGTGTGGCAGGGGCGGGGCGAGGTCTCTGGTCAGGAGATGCTGAGTGCCTTGGGATCCTAGAGTTGGAGGATGCTTCCGTGACTGCGCCAGGCTGGCTCTGGAGAAACGGCCGGGGCTCTCACGCCCGCTGGCTGCCCCCACAGCTGGCCGGTGATAGGACTGAACCCAAACCAACAGATGCTGCTTTTCACAACAGGCTTCACCGTTCCTCTTTATGCCATGAGGCCCGTGCATTTACGCACCTGCCAGGTACTGTGGCTGCTGGATGCACGGCACCAAGCCAGGCGTTGGGGGGCAGAAGCGCGAGGCCTTTTCATTCCAGTTGAGGGACAGACCTGGGAGGTGCGGGGCTCGGTAGTGATCGTGGAAAGGACGGTGGCCCCATAGGAAGGTAGGTGTTTCCCGCGAAGCAGGTGACGGTTTGCACTAAGCAGAGGTGTTCAGTAGGTCGGACCGCATTCTGCATCATCGGGACTCGGATTTGCCCCACTGAGCTGTGGAGGGAAGTGGGTGTGGAAGAGAGGAGGAGCTGGCCACACATCCCGAGGTTTCCAGGGCCGGCGGAGGTGCCTGCAGAGCCCCAGACCGACCCAGGCTCGCCTCGCCGGCTGTAAACCGCTGGGCAGTGGCAAGTGGGACATTTGGCCCCTTATTGCTTACATACCTCAGCACCGACTTCTGGTTCCGACAGGACCGACCCGAGGGCGGTTGCCCACTTCTGCTTTCCTCACCTGGATTTCCACTCCCCTCTGTGTGTGCTCATATACCAGGTGTGGGGCCACCAGAAGGCCCTGGGTCCCACCCACACCACCGCACCCACGCCAGCCTCAGTCACTAGGTGGCGGCAGCGAGGCCGAGAAGAGCCGGGGGTAAACAGCCGCGGTGGGCTGCCGGCTCCTGCTCCCTTCAGCCGTGACCCAACACTGAGCCAGCCCGCTTGTGCACCCCCGCGTGATCCCCAGGTCCTGCCTCGGAAGCACATCACTGCTTCTGGGGCGTGGGAGGAGCTTCATTCTCATCTGCAGAGCTGCTCTGCAGCCTTTCTCCAAAGACCTGACCAACCAGGAACACAAGTTCAGTGTTCACAAGATGAGGGAGGGAGGGAAGGTGCTTTGAGACAGGCCGAGATCCGGCTAGTTGCAGGAACCCGTGGGTGCTTCTCACACCCGCCGGTGTGCTGTGAGGCAGACCACTGCGGGGCAGGGACTCGTCTCTGGACAGACCACAAGATACTCTCACGACAAGCGTTCTGGGACGGTGAACTTGGAGTGGCGGCTGAGCGCCTACGTGCACAAGGCGCTCTACCACCACGTCCGCCGGGTGCAGCAGGGGTCAGGATGGGGCGGCCGTGCCCTGCTCCCACGCTGCGGCTTACTGGCTGGGCGTTCTTGGGCACGTTCCTCAGTATTTCTGCATCTGTAAAATGAGGTTTTGGAATGTTTGTGTGGAGGCCTCCTTTTATACGGGGTGGCCGTGTGGATCGCAGGAAGAAATACTTGTAAATCGCCCAGCACATATTGGGTGTGGGTAGAGCGGAGCCAGTGGCTCTGTTCTCAGTAACTCCGTGAGGGGCTGAACTATTCTTGCTTAGAGCTGTCTGTTCACAAGTGACCTGGAAATGGTAACTTATCCCAGATGGAGGTGCTGACCGCTGCTACCGTGGGGTGTCCTCTAACGTGCAGTACAGAGGAAGGGGAAGGCAGTGGAGAGGAGGGAGGAAAGGCTTGGTAGCATCTGAACAAAGTCTGAGGGAGCAAAACTCAGCTTTTCCGCTAAAAATATTTTTCCTACGCACTAATGGCCTATTTTCACAGAGTATTTCTGTGCTGCCCTGAATGTCTATTGAAGATGGTTTGCAGAGGCCCAAGTCACAGGACAGAATTCAGCCTTGACCCCTATCAGAAGGGACCTTCTCCCCAAGCAGTGCCCTTAGGTGCAGAGGGAAGGGAGTAGGGAGAGGCGTCCATGCTGTTACCTGAAGGGCATCCAGCACCTGAGGAAGTCTGTGGGAGAGAAAGGGGAAGGAAGTCAGTTTTCCCTGCACACACAGGGAAATGGCTGTGACCAGCCCTATGTGACTTTAAGAAGGGGCACCGTCCTAGTGAGTAGAAGAGAGGGACACAGTCCTGGGACAACGTTAACTGAGAGCTCAAAGTGAGACAAGTCAGTCGGGGCCAAAGTGCAGGTTGTTGGCCATGGGGCTGACGAGGAAGAGCAGCTTTGTAGCTCAAGGATGAGGAAGGATGGTCGAGTCAGCACTGTCAGACAAGCCACAAGGAACCGCCATCTTGGGAGACACTAATATCTGCTGGCCAGGCCTAAGAAAACAAAACATCCCGAAGATCCAGGGAAAGTGGCTTTGTTGGAAATAATCAGAAGCACAAACTCAAATCTGCACAAGATTACTAACACCACATTTTTGGTCAGTTTTTAGGAAAACATGACACAAAGTTGTATTCATTCTCCTCAGAAAACATTTTCCTGAGCAGTATTAGGAGTTAGCAGACCTTTCTGGTTTTCCTTTTGACTTCCTTTGAAGCATTACACATCACAGGCAAGTCAGCCCCTCCCAGAAGACGAAAGAGCCAGAGGATCAGGGGGCCTGGGCAGACAAGACCACAGCAAGTGTGGCAGAAAGCCCACGTGCCTGGAAGTGGATCTACTCAGCTGTGGACATGCCTACAGGAAGCTGTGTGTTATTATTTGAGAAAGGGTCTCACTATGTAGTTGAGACTGACCTGGAACTCACTATGTAGCCCCGGCTGGTCTCAAAACTCATAGCAATCCTCCTGCCTCAGCCTCCCGAGTGCTGGGATTACAGGCGTGCGCCACCACGCCCGGCAGCTGTGTGTTCTTTTAATGGACACCTGCATGCAGAAGTGGTTAAAGACCAAACCATCAACAAACATCGTCCAAGCTAGTCCTGAAGTATATTTAACTTGAAGATTTTGAATGATTTTTTAAAAAAGATAATGTTTCAGGTTATTATAGATCAGTATTTATAAACCAGTAAAAGTGTATTTAGAATAGTTTTGTTTACCTGATTAAATGTTTCCAGTATGTTTGTAGCTGTGGAAATTGTGAATGCGGACTTGCCTATGGTTGTTTCTGGGTGCCTTTCCCTTATTTTCTGCAGCAATAATCCTATTTCCAGCCTCATCATGGGCTAAAAAGAGGACCAGGCCAGACGGAGATCGGAGAATTAAGCGGGAGGTCTCGTATCAGAGTCACCTGGGTATACCCATCCATGCGCTTCCCCCGAGGCAGTTAAATTCATGGAATTAAGTGAATTCTTCTTACCATGCCCAATAAACACTGTTACCCTAGTTTTAAGAGGCGGTTTAAGAACATCAGTGCTTTATCTGTCAGTCCCCCGACAGACAGCCTCCATCCCATAAGCAACAGAGGGTGAGTGGCAGATGGTATCCATGTAACTCAGGACACCTTGGGGGAAGGCACCACCACCAGCCACAGCAAAGCCATCTACCTTCACCTGCATGCCTCCGCCTGCCACCGGAATCCAGGACCCTGCAGCTCAGCCTCTGAGGAATGTTCTCTTCGCTGCCTCCCTGACTGCTTGACTGGGACGCAGTACTTCTGAGTAACAGACACCAACATTCCCTGCAGTCGCTCTGGGGTGGTGGTGGTGACTAGGTTCCTTTGACGAAATGTACAGCAGTTTCAGGCTCACGGGAAAAGTTAAGCAGAAAGTAGAGTACCCTTACCTCCTGCTGCCTCCAACACAGCTCCCTGTCAGCATCCCAAGCCCTGGTGGACAAATGCCACCTTGATTCTGTTGCTCTCCCTGCCGGTCCCTCCGAGAACCCCCGAGTCCCCTGCTGGTCTCCGTCCTCTCAGATTCCAACACCCTCCATCACTTAGCCCCGTTATGCTTCATTAGAGTGAAAGAAAAATACAGCCACACTGCTGGGAGGTAAGAACCTCATTCCTCCTACAGGACAGAGGCTACACTGCACCCGAGGGACTGTGCACAGCCCAGGTGCAGGCAAAGTATCTCAGTCCCTTCCTCAGGATGTTCAGATTCCGAAGATGACGGGAACATCTAAGCTACCTGCTAATTCAACCCAAAGGGATGCATTACTATTTGCTATGGCACAGCTGCTATAGCAACTACACCAAAAACATCCACAGAGGGACCCAAAGCTGAGTGCAGTGACACACATTAACCCACCACTCAGGGCCTGAGGCAGGAAGACAGCCCGAGGCCAGCCTGGCCACTCAGTGAGACCCTGCTTCATTCAGCTCCTCGCCCATGCCAACCACGGCGCAGCCCCCTCGGGTCTGGCTTCCACCTCCATCCAGTGTCAGCTGGTGCCCGCGGAGCTGGGGGAGGACCCTGATGGATCCACAGCTCTGCGCTGGCAGTGTCCGTCTGCTGGAATTCTGGCAGCAATGAAGCTGCTTCCAACTGTGACTGGCACGGAGCTCTAGGTCACAGAGAAGTCACCCAGGTGAACTGCTGCCTACAGTGACAGTTCCAAGACTCAGGGACTGGGAAACTGAAAAAGGAGAATCAATGTGCTCGTCTAGAAATCCGTACACAGCAAGAGCCACTGAGGGTATGGGGGGAGAGATGAGGAGGGACAGCGGGAGAGAGGGAGCGAGCTTTAGAACGCACCCTTCCAGACCGCTTGACACTGCACTCCTCTCCGTCATACTTGATTATCTGCCCCAGCGCGTGACGAGCTGACAGCCCCTCCCTCCCACAGGGCTCTCTCCTGACAGAGACCCGGAATGTGGAGAGAGCGGTAAAAAGAGGCCACGCAGGCTGGGCAACTGTCCAAAAATATCACAGTACAGAAAGGGCGAAGGATGTAACTCTGCTACACAGGGCCTGTGGGTAAGATTTGTAGGCGCTGACTGAATGTAGGTGAACACTAGAATTAAGACCAAATATTAGAAGACCAAATAGTCAACAACTTGCTGTGAAATCTAGAATATGGAGAAAGACCCAGATGTCTGCCTTCAGAAGTACTGTGCTCTGGTGTGAACTGTCACGGTGTTCAGTGACTGAGGTAAAGAGAAAGTACCCTGGGAAGCAGTGGGTGTGGCGGCCACACCTGTAATCCCAGCACTTGAGAGCCCACGGATGGCAGGACATGGCATCTGTCTGAGGGGAAGCAGTGGGTGTGGCGGCCACACCTGTAATCCCAGCACTTGAGAGCCCACGGATGGCACGACATGGCATCTGTCTGAGGCCAGCCTGGCTCCACAGAGACCGTCTCAACAAAACAGAACAGCAAAAAACAAGTCCTGTAGAAAGTTCAATGAAAAAGCTCTTCTTTGTGACTCTATTATTCTCTGTGATTTCATCACAAAGAAGTCAAAATGGAAAAAGATTATTAAATCCAGGAAAGAAGAGAAAAGGTCCTCTTTTGTAACAGAAAAGCTTGGAAAATGTGGGTCAAAGTAGTGAGGCACTAAATAAGAAGTCAAATTTAGGATATCTTAAAACCAACTTCTTTAATTAGAAAGCATCAAGCATGCACATGGCAAGTGTAGAAATTTATTTGAACCAACATTTTCACTATAATGAAAATTACTCTTCAACATTGATCTAAGCTCCCACATCTGAAGGAGAGGGAAAATATTGCACTTTGCAGTTTCTAGCACTCCTCATACACAGCAAAAAGTTCGCAAACATTTTGCTAGTTTTGTTTTTATACACTCTCCCAAATTCATGCATACACTCATTCCAAATCAATGTTAGGTTATCCCCAAAAAAGGGAAGCTCCAAAAACCATAACCTTAAAATTGCACTAAAGTTCTGTAAAGAAAAAATATAATAAATGTCTTGTACAAATTTCAGAACATCGAAGTGCTTGCCAAAATGAGCTGATTATTCCTCGTCTTCATTGTCATTCTCCTGACCGGAGCCTTCTGACCTGTCACCCTCCAAGCGGTCTGGAAACACAGGAGAATCACAAAGAGAAACATGTTTATAATATTATAATTATAAATACACTTCAACATCTTTCACTTAAAACATTAAAATATGTAGTTCATAGAAATGTAAAATCAGGTCACTGTTCTGTACAGAACGGCCTTTTCCTGGAGAGGTAAGCACAGAAGAGTAAAGGCAGTGCACTGTGAGTTTGGATACACAAATAACCACAAACATAAAAAGAGAAACGCTCCCAGATCCCGCTGTGCCGCTCCGGTGGATTTCTAGCAGTGCTCTGGGAGCTGCTGCCCAGGGATGGAAAGGAGGCCATGTGGGGGAAATTATGGCACTGGGCGCTGGAGGAGTGCAGCATTTTGTCTGTAAAAAGTTAGAACTAAAAACAATAGCCAGGAATGCAGCTCAGCTGCACAGTGCCTGTCTGGCAATCACGAGGCCCTGGGTTTGATTCCCAGTACCCCCCAAAAACAAAAAACCAATACAGCAGTGTCTGAAATAAATGCGGTCTCTACCTTCAGGGCGGACTGTGTATCTAGGTTAAATACTCAAGCTAATACACGCAAACTGGCAAGCCCAGCCTGCCTTCTCAAACTGTCCGCACTTGCTCGTCCTTACTTGGCAATTTCACCCAACTCTTCAGATTAAAGGGGCCCTGTGGAAGCGGCTGGAGCTCTCCCCAGACTTTTTATACCCAGTCTGCAGGGCATCTGGGAACTCTCCAACACATCTCCGTGAACTTACAGCAACGATGGTTATCTGACTAGACTGTGGGGCCCCAGGGGTAAGAATTATTTCTTTTTAAAATCTTAATATCCCAGGGCCTAGTGTGGGACATTAATGGTTTCCTTCTTTTCTTTGCGGTTCTGGGGATCAAGTCGAGGGGCAGTGCATACCAGGCAAGCACTCTGCCAAGGAGGTAACACTTGTGAAGGTTATCACATGATGAGTACGGTTTTATGAAGATAAGATGTACTGCACTACGGTGTATGAACACAGCAACAGCAGAAAGTCACCGCCACCACAAAGATGGTGTCACAAAATATTTCCCCAAGGTAGTATGGAAAATATTTAAGTCAAGTATAAGGCAGTCACACAATCCACAGCAAGGGAAGACTGAGCCCTGTTTTCTGCATTATCTGCAGAGGCTGCATGTTCCATGATCCTAGATCAACGGCACCAATGACTGCACAGAACAGGCTATATTTTTACTGTCCAGGTGAATTAGATTAAATCTCCTCTTATGTATTATAAGAGTAATAACTTTATTAGATAGGGTCTTGATGTGTAGCTCAAGCTGGCCTTGAACTCACTATGTAGCCTAGGCTGGCCTCGAACCTACAGCAATCCTCCTGCCTCAGCCTGAGTGATGGCATTAGAGGAGGCCACCACCATGCCTGGCCTAAGATAGATAGAAACATACACTTATTTATTTATTTTTCTCTATACATTGTAATTTCTTCTAACGATGAAACCAACAGCGTAAGGACTGAAGCTCTCAGGTAAGGCAAGACATTATGGCCCTGGGAGAAGGCAACCAGAAAGGTGGCAGGAGGCATGAAGATGGGATTCTTAGGAAAGAGATGAGCTACAGGAAGGGCTTAGGTGTTCAGGGTCCCAGCAATAAGAAAGATAAAGATGGACTGCTCCAGCTTTAATCTGGAGGTTAAGAGAGAGAAATGCCTTTCCCTTCAATTAGGAAGAGACCTGAAGACAGGGAGGCAGGTTGCTTTGAACCTGCCCTGTCGTGGACCTATAGGGTCTGGGAACAAAGAAAGAAAATGGAATTCAGCTGGCAGGAGAGCAACTTGTAGCAACAGAAGGTGACGATTCCATGCGTTGGTGAGTCAAAGCTTGAGCCTGGACTTCAACCTCAGGGCCAGAGACGCATCTCCTCTGAGGAGGAGGTCACCTCATTCCGCAGATGGGGAGTGACAGCTTTCTGAACCCATGTGATCCTGGGAGTCACAGAGCAGTGAAGACATCTCTCCCACAATGTCCTTCCCATGAGCTAGCACCAGCTCTGCTGCAGGTCCTCACTTCCCAGTCTGCACCCACAAGGTTGGGAATGTGCCAGCCCATCCCCTGGGCTGGAGAATGTGCCCAGTCTTCAGAGACTCAGTACTCCCAAGCATCTACCTCCAGCTCTTCCAGGTCTGTCATGAGGCCAAACATTCTACTGTGATCCTGAAAATGGCTACCCTCAAAATTGGTGATGGGGGTGACAGGATGAAGTAATTCAGGCAAAGCTTCTGAGGCAGGTCGCTTGATCTGTCTGTAGGAGTGGCTCAGAAGGCCGCAGGCCCTTGGCCTTGCATCTGGGTTGCGCTGAAGGTGCTGCTCCACAAGATGGTGGAAGTGTGGGGACAAGGTTCAGTGGTAGGGGAGAGAAGGCGTACCAGTGGCCGGTCTCTCACCCAGGCCGGAGTTGGCTGCTGAACGTGAGGGGGCCATGGTCAGCTCCTCCAAAGGAACCGTGCCGGTGTCCCAACAGGCAGGGCACTGTGCCATTCAGCTTCTCCAGCAGCATCTGGGTGGCGGGCGTATCCTCAAAGGGGACATGGCCATTGGCCAGTTTACAGGCTGTGACATCAGGCTTGGCATCATAACCCTGAAGGTCCTGCTGGAGGACTTCCGGGCTGAGCCAAGGCTGAACCTTGATGCTGTACTTGGGAAGATCGCGGACCACACGCCACCGCTGCCCAGGACTGATGGTGCTGGGGTCGCTGCATAAACCAGACAGGTAGACCTTCCCATCCACAGGATCCGAATGTGGCCTGATTTGACACCCCTGTGAACATAACCCATGCAATGGATACGGTCCAGAGCCTTTAGAACAAACCCCTGCAGGGTATAAGCAATTGCCAGTTCATCCACACCATCCATGAAGCATCCACTGAGACCCTTTGCGGAACCATAGGCCACAGGTGCTGGGACAACCCGCAGCTCACCGTCTGCAATACAGGCGGCTCGATATGGCACGGGATTGGGATGGCGCAAGAGTCTAGAGACATGCAGCTCCCCTGCAAGATGTCACCAGCTCACTGGGACGAGCTTCTGGTCAATCCTGCGCACTGCCACACACCCTCCTGTGCTAGAGTAACTGCCACAGTCTTCAAACCCTTGGCCCGTAACAGCGTCCCTCTGGCAGGAAGCAACTCATGACTTCCTGTGTAGAGGAGGACGCTACAGGCTCTGGGCCCGCCTCATAGGCAAGAAAAGACGCAAGTCCCTAATGTGTATGCCCCCTTCAATCTCAAACACTTCAACCTGGTCCGGCAGTCAGCACGCGGCCCCAATCCGGTCTCAGCTCCGCCTCTGCAGGTTTTCTAAAATTTATATTTTTAATTACACAAGTTTTAGCTGTATAGAGAATGTAAGTATTCAATATGCATCTGTAAAATAAATGGATGAAATAAAACTTAAAACAGACCTTCATGTATCGTAATGGACCTCAACACAGTGGAATAATTTGTGACCCATAAAATATTTACTTGAGGGATGTTAGTATAAAACTATTATCTTAATTTTTTTTGCAGTGTGGGAGATAAACCCAGAATGTTCAATTTCAGACAAAGTTTCTACCATCAACCAGACTCTTCCCAAACCTGTGCGATTACATCATTCTTAGGTTAAATTACTTGCTGAGGGAAAATTCTGGAGAAACCTATTCTGTCAGGCTGGAGGAGCGTGAGGAGGCGCACAGCTTGTTTCAGTCTGGTTGCTTCAGTTTCTTCCGCTTGTCAGGCCACAAACAGATGGGGAAGAGGCGAGAGAAGAGAGGCCCCTCCCGGCCTTTAAGGCAGGGGTCTGCAGGGGATGTTAGAATGCTGCGTCCACAGCCCACCCAGGAGGCGGATGAGGGAGGCCAAAGACCACAGAACAACTGACAGCAGCTTCACAGAGCCCAGAGGCGTCCCTCAGAGTGGGACCCAGTCTCTAAGAAAAACTAAATGAAACCTGCTGCTCAGAAGTAGTAAAAATGCAAAGCAGCTCAACACCTTCATAGACCCGGGGCTGCAAGTACGGACTGAGGCGGGCTGAAGAACACTGCCACTGCCTTCTCTGAAAGGACACGGAGTAAAAACTGCTTCTATATCTAGCTCTTTTCAAAAGTACATGATGCAAACTGATTTTGCAAATAAGGGTTACATTTGTGAAAAGGTTCCCTACTCTCTGTTTAAGTTTGCCAGTGGTGTCAGATTATAAGAACTCCCTAAAGAAAACTTATGTTTCATAAAAATACTCTTATGTTCCAGAATATCCTTTACAATATTTACTTTCTTAAGAAATTAATAAATTTAACAGTAGTAGGCAGACACTTGATACTGGAAGTTCATTCCTTTCCTCATTTAGTCAGCAAACATTTACTGAATGACTATTATGTGCAGACATTGGTCCAGGAGCTAAAAATCCAGCTGCAAATAAGACAAATTAATTAGGTCTCTGTATGAGGGAGTACAATGGTGGAGGATTTGCCTAGCTTGTGCAAGTCCCTGGATTCAATTCCTAGCCTGGGGAGAAAAAGACAAACTGGGTTTCTGCTCTTCATAAGTTCACTTCTGGAAGAACACAGGAAAACAACACATACATTGTTCTCCTTTAACGTGTAATAATGCAACAAGTAAAAACAGGAAAAGTTAGGGTGCCAGTACTTGAGGAAAAGCAAGCAACGAATTGTGACTGTGTTAGAGTGGGTGTGAGGGGCACAGAAAGCAGCATCACCCCACTGGGCTGGAAGACACCTCAGGAGTTGAGAGGCGGGAGGGAGCGGGGTGTACTGCGCGGGCTTGAGGGAGAGGAGACGCCAGCTACCAGGCAGTGCGTGAGCACCTTGGAAGGTGAGGACAGTGGCCGGTGGGTCTGGGCCACGTGGGTAGAACCCTGCACATCGTAATGAGAAGTCTGTTTTATTATTTCAGTAGCAATGGGGAGCCCCGAAAATGTAAAGGGGAGATATAATTTATGTTTGCAAAAAGGGGTCACCAGCCTGCTACTTCTGTTT